CTTTGTGATACCACCTCATGTTAGGAAGATGTCAGGAAGGCCTGGCAAGAAAAGGAAGAAAGAGCAAGGTGAAACTAGTAAAACTGGAAAATTATCCAAAAGAGGGATTAAGATGTCATGCAGCACTTGTCATAACAAGAGTCACAATAAAAGAAAGTGTTCTCTTGGTGCACCTGCTTCTGGCACAAGTTTTACTGCTGGACCAAGTTCAAGACCTCCTTCTGGCCCTGCTACTGCAACAATATCAACACAAATTGATGGCCCTGCTAGCCCAAGAGCAACACCTGCTATTGCACCAACATCAACACAAACTGCTGGCCCAAGAGCAACACCTGGAAGGGGTAGACCAAAGGGTTCAACAGAAAAGGTGATATAGTTTCCTTTATTTACTTCATGTATAAGTTTTAAATAAGTTGCTTTACTGAATATTTTGTTGTTTTTTTAGGGTAGTGTTGCTAGCAGAACAAGAATGGTTAGAATGGGTATACTACACACACAAAGTGGTGCTACTATTATTAATGTAAGTTCCCTATTTCTATACTTAAATATCATTTATTATTTTTTCTTTAATCACAAATTAAGATTATTTATATTCATTTGAACAGCCTGGAATGCCTAGTGAAAGATTTAGAAATGTGAAGTCTTCAGCAGTTGTCACTGGAGATCTTGGACATAAACCACCATGTGGTGTGAAATGGAAGGGAAAACAAGCTATGACCTCAAGCCAACTTGAAGAGATGAGGGGAAGTAAACAAATGGAGACTAGGTCTAAGGCTGCACATTTGAGCCAAGAGAGCTCTAATGCAATCTAACTTGTTTTGGTAGATTTTTGTTGGTAATGCAATGTAGACATTATGTTTTGTTGGGTGATAGACAATGCAATGCACTTTATCCCTATTTAGTTCCCTTATATTTAAGACAATGAATTGGCAGTTGCGACTGCATTTTGATTTGTGGTGTTTGATTATGTAACTGCTTTGATTAATGATTATGCAGTTATGGATGTCTGTTTATGTAACAATATTGCTTCTCTTTTAGTTGATGGTTTTTGTGTTTATGGAGGGCAATTAGTGACTACTTTAGCAGTGGCTACGCAAACGTATAGTTTAGACAGTTGAGCAGATAGTTGTAGACACTAAATGTATAGTTTATGCCCAAATACAAAACCAAATACTTGCCAACATAAATGAGACAAATTAGATAAAGAAAGCCTTGCAAATTCTTTTCATTACACAAAAGCCTTACAAGTTCAACACAATAATGCACATTTTTGGACAAGAAGAGATCATGACAATTTCCTTGAATCTCCTTCTCCTTTCAGAAACAATACTCTTTGAAATATTAAACTTACACCTAAAATACAAACACACAACAGAGCAATCCAAAGTTGTTTCTCCCTTTTCTTGGACTTGGCCAATTTGTTTTTCCATTTCTTTTCAACTGCTTTCATCTTCTTCAAATCATCATCAAAACTATCCATTTTTGACTCTTTCTTGTTCATATCTATTTTGCTTTCCATAGGTTCGGTCGACTTAGTAGGCTTTTTGATTTCCTTATCTGAAATTTCAACTTTTCGAGAAGATTCAACAATATGTTCAAGCTCAGCAATTCTTCCCAACAACTTGGGAATCACAAATTTGGATCTTGGATCAATATAATCATCTTTCCAAAGCCAAAAATCACATGATCTGGCATTCTTAAAAAACAAAATGAATCATTATATGGCTCTTGAAACAACAAAACGAATCATTCAACTCTAAAAAGATTAACTTACCCCATAGTAAGGACAACCCCAATATCTTCTACCAGGATTTTCGGGGTCCAAGAGGTCAGCAAAGGCAAACAAATCCATGTTTGCATCGCACCTCTTCCAATTCATGATCTTCCTCTTGCAAACGGAGCCTAGTCAAGCTTATTCGAGTCATTGTAGCACCTTAATAAGAATTACCGCGAATCAAACAACTAAAAATTACAAAATAATGAAATAGATAAGAAACAAAATACAAAATGAAAAAGAAGAGGAATGAATCAAAATGGAAAAGAGATGAATGAATAATAATGAAAAAGAGTTACCTTTGATTCAATAGAAGGAATTTTGAACTATGTTTGAATTTAGGGTTCTTGATTCAGATTTTTTGGGTGAAAATTTTAGGGTTCTTGTTCATTAGGGTCGGGTGGGTAGGTTATATGAAGAGAATGGGAATATAACCGTTGGGCTGAGTTTTTTTAATTAAAAAAATAAATAAATATGACTTTATTAGCGTGTTGACACGCTCAACTATGTGGAGCGAAACGCGCCCTGGGTTGGGTGACGGAAGGGGGAAATAAATATAATTTTATGTAGTTAAGGTGTGTAATAAGTCGCCCCATTAGTTAAAGTGTGTAAATGACTTTTGGATACAAGTTTAGGGGGCAATTTATGCCTTTTGCCTTTCCATTTCATTTGATAGTATTTTTTTAAAAGATATGTTCTTCCTTTGTTGATTTTGATTTTGATTTTTTTTATTTTTGCTTTAATTTGTGGGGAAGCAGGGGCGTGGGTCGGAGGAGGTGTGTGAGGGGGGAGGTGAAGAAGATGTGGATGGTGCTCTTCATTATCTTCCGGCAAAGAAGACGTAGATGATAATCTCCATTTTTTCTGGCAAAGAAATGTGAATGATTATCTTAATTGTTTTTGGCAAAAGAGATAACCGAAAGTAGTTCTACTGTAAAATTAATAATACAATAATAAAAAAATTAAAAAAGAAAAAAGAAAATGACGGAAATTTGCTTTTGAAAAATTGGTGGTGAAGTGTTGTAAAGATACAGTTACAGCCTTGTAGGCTGTAGCAGATGGTGTGGTATTGAAAGAGAGGAAAGAGAAAAAGATTGTTAAAGGTTTTTTTTTTAAAAAAAAAAAAAAGAGAAAAAAAACTGAAAAGAAAAATAGAAAATATTGAAATATTTGATCTCACGCGCTCACCTAGTGTGAATTTCACTTTTTGTGTCATATCAGCATAAAGTGTCTGAGTGGTTCAAATTCTACCCGATAAAAGTATTTGATAGGTATAAATTTTATTTGAGATGTCTAAATGAATTATGCGGACAATTTAAGGAGCCAGAGATGACTTAGGCTACAAATTAATTATATTACACTATATAAGATGTATATTATGTCAAGTAGAATATGCATGAAATGTTTTAGGGAAAATCACTTATGTGTACATTTTTTTAAAAATATTTACGACATTTGTCAACATTATTCTTTTAACCATATATAACAATTTGGCTGAATGACAGTATTACTGAAAGTTGCGAATGGCAGCACGTTTTGCTAAGTTTAAAGGAACAAAATTGTTTTAAGTAAGTATTGCTAAAAGTTGACAAAAATGGTAATAAATTAAAAGTATACTTAAAAGTGGTAATTATTAAATAAAATACCTTCACTTATGTAATTTTTCCAAAATTTTATTATGGTAGAGGCCCAATCAACCAAAGTTGTGTGAGGCTCCATCCATTTTTTGACATGTGGATCGTGGGGCCCAAGCTATCAGTTAAGGCTGAAAATGAAACCAAAAGAAGAGAGAATGTAAAGTTTGAGTGGAAATTGCAAGACAATTGTGGGGTCCACGTCAATTTCAATTAAATAAATTAAAATATTATATTGAAAGTGGAAAAGTGCACAGTAAAAAGGGAAGGAAGGGAATAAAAAGTCATATTATTAGCTGATCAATATTTTATTTCTATTTTATATCCACATTTATTTAACGTGTTGAATTGAATATCTATTAAAAAATATTATTCTTATATTGAAATTTGTTTACACTCTATTTTCTTTAAACTAGCGTTACTTTTAAAAATAGTTCTATATTACAAGATAAGATAAGATTTGTGTATATTTTATTGTCTTCAATTTGGTATTTGACGTTAATAGTATTGTGCTCTTATCTAAGGTTTACAAGGAAGAGTATTCGGTACAGTGTAGAGTAATAGTCAAGAAAGTTTGTTGCACATAGATAAGATGCAATCTTTGCCAAGTGGCAAAAGATTATTGGTTCTCTTTTAAATTTTCCTTTAAAAAAGAAAAAATTTAACAAAACTATCAAAAAATAAAGAAAATAATATAGTCAATTAGTTAATTCTTGAATAAAAAAATTAAAATATCATTAACAATATACTAATTTAAAAGCATAATATTTTTGTGAATTTTCTCTTTTTTCAAACAATATTTTTTAAAAATTTATATCATAAAGATACATTTTTTTCATGATTTTTCAATTTTTTTAATAAACCTATTAAAACTGAAATGAAAGTCAAAATAACAAGATTAATCTCAAACATAACATTTAATGCTAAAATAGTAAAAATAATTGATCAACTAATAATATGACTTTTTATTTCCTTTCTTGCCTTTTTTACTGTGCACTTTTCCATTTTCAATATAGTATTTTAATTTATTTAATTAAAGTTGACGTGGATCACATAATTGTCTTGCAATTCTCGCTCAAACTTTACATTCTCTCTCCTTTTGATTTCATTTTTTAGCCTTAACTAATAGTTTGGGCCCCACGATCCACATGTCAAAAAATGGGACGTGGATCACATAATTGTCTTGCAATTCTCGCTCAAACTTTACATTCTCTCTCCTTTTGATTTCATTTTTCAGCCTTAACTGATAGCTTGGACCCCCCACGATCCACGTGTCAAAAAATGAATGCAAACTTTGATTGATTTGGCCTATACCTTAATAAATTTTTTCGAATATGCATATCCGCACCTGTGAATTATGAGCAGTATTGCAGGATTTGACTGATGTCAGTTTGTAAAGATGGCGATACTCTTCTCTATCCATTCAAAGCTCTTTGTTTAACATAACGTGTCACTCTCTATGGAATGGAGGTGGCAAAATCCCCACTTTTTTAGCGACCCCACTCTGAAAAAGATGTTTCCTCAGAGACTCCGTCTTCCAACTTCCGCATTCCAGCTTTTCAATTCTCCATCACTCACAGTAAATTCTCTTCTCTTCATCTTCCCCACTCCTTTTCTTTTTTCAAATGAAAAAAAAAAACCTCTTTCAGTAAACTAAAGCTCTTGTTTGGCAGTAGATTTTACAATTGTGATTTTTAAAACTTGAAGTTGTGTTTAGACATGTAGTTATCTTGAAAAAAAATCAAACTTTTGTTAGGGAGGGTGAAATTTTGAAGATAAATTTGATTTTAAAAAAAAAAAAATTGATTCAAATCTATGGCCAAACGCTAGTTCTGAGCTTCTTTCTTTGTTGCATTCAGATATTGATGTTTGTGTATTTGTTTATCAATTTTTGACTTGATAAATTGTCTGTATTCAGTCTCTGTCTTTGTTTCCACTTTATGTTGAGTTTTCTTGCAAAAAATTCAAATCTATGGACATGTAGTTTTCTTGAAAAAAATTCAAACTTTTAAAAAGACTTATGGCTAGACAGATATTTGAAGATATATTTTTTAAGTTCTGATCCAAATGTATATGTATATTATATATTTGTGTTATTTTGGAAGTGCAAATTATGTGCTTCTTTCTTTGTTGCATTCAGATATTGATGTTTGTTGTATTTGTTTATCAATTTTTGGCTTGATAAATTGTCTGTATTCAGTTTCTGTCTTTGTTTTCAGTTTATGTTGATTGTTGAGAACAATTCATAGATTTGAACGTGGTTCTGAATCTTTTATAGGACAATTAGTTATTTATAGCAATTTGCTGGCTCTGCGTAAGACTGATACTATCATTTTGTCATTATAAGGCTGAAATTTAAGATGATGAAAAAAAAAGTGTTGTGATTTGAGCCTTTTGGGATGTCCCAAAATGTCAAAAACGATGAAAGTTTTTTTTAAAAAGGAGTCAGTTCTCCATGCCATGACGGAGACAGGATTTTCACCCAGGGGTTCATCGTCTCTGGCTTCGCATTTGAAAGCAGATATTAGTCTAGGCTCTTTGATAAGGTGTAGTTCTTCCAGCTGATTTTGGATCAGCCTGAGAAGAAATACTATGAGTTTTGATTAAAAGATGAAATGACAAATTTTGATCAATCCCACGATTGCGGTTAGGATGAGTGGTGAGGGCATCCCTTTGATGCAAAAGTAGTAGGAGTATTAGATTTAGATTCATCATATTTGCAGTGATGTTATTAATCAGTGAATTGTTACTATTCATGTTACACATCTTACAGCACCTGTTTTTGTTACTAATTCAGTCTGCCATCATATCAAAATTGAATCCACAAATAGAAGATATTACTTGGAAGAAATGAACTTTGGTTTCCTTTGTTTTACAACACAGGACTTTTGCAAAGATATCTGAACTGGTTGGCTAGTGGTGAGCTTGGAACTGTTTGAATTCCTCTTGCATTCTATAAGGATAAATTAATGCCATTTAATTTTTAAGATGGGAGTTTGTTGATTTTCAGAGTGCTTCCAGCATTTGAGGGAACCGTTTTCCTAATAATTTTTGTACACATTTCTGTGTTGTGGTTCATTATGTAGCCTTAAACTAGTTGGACTTATACCGAGGATGTTCTAAAATTTTCATATTTATCTGGTACTCTTATTGAAGACTGTGATTTGATCATTCTGTGAATTAACTTCTATACCGAGATTTTGAGGACTTGAACATTTTATGCAGATGGCGTACATATGACCACTTTTGGAAGTATAGATGGCAGAGTTACTTCAATTGGTCAACACTGTTATGATCTTGCTGATCAAGCCTTTGTCACTTGTCAAATTCACTTGCTTCTTCGGTGTGAGAACAATATGCATTGTTATCCAAACATGGACAGAACTGCTGAGAGCTGCTATGGGTTTTCATGCCAGATTACTCTGGAGACTGATAATTTGGGCTATTGCTATTCTATCCCTGCCTATACGGAGTTTAACAGCTCTACAAAGGGAAAGGGCGGTGAGTTTTATTTTTGAAAAGTTTATTGTGTGTGTCCACTTTTATGTTTTAGTTTTTTGGATGTTTCTTCCACATGTCTTGTATGTAGTGTTAAGTTTTTGTTTATTCTAGTGCTTCATGAACCAGAAACACAGAAACTAATAATTGAATCATCCGAATGGGTAGCACTCTCAATTTTGTTAGACCAGTACATAAGGTGTTCAAATTCCCCATCCGACATTTTGTGCAGCACTCTTGTTTGGATACCTATGTGAACTTAGCAAAATATAGTTGGTCTCAAGCTCGGAGTAAGAAGGAGGATTGTGGTAGTTGGCAATCAACTTAAAACTAGCCTAACTAGTGCGAAGTTTTCTGATATCTAATATTTGGCATACAATAGAACCTGGATAGAGCAGAATGAACAAAATAGAATTCATATAGACTCATAGTAGATTGATATCAATGCTTGTAAAATTTGTGAGATCTGGAGTAATCTGGAATTGCGTTTTGATATTACTCCCGAAGGGGAAAACAAAGTTGAAGGAAGAGGAGTGGAGATGGATAAGGTAATTTAACGAGTTTCTATCTTCTCTATTCTTGTACACCTTGTGTGAGAGTGTGGCAGGGGTTTGGGGGACCAGAACATTTTCTATTGTATGAGGGTTTACTTGTCCTTTTTACAACTTTCACCTGTATAACTTCAATATAATCTTGGTAGACTTCACAGGTAGCTCTATTTCCAAATGCTGTTCAGTTTCGTGGAATAATTTCTTCAATGAGAAAAATGATTAGTAACTTCATTATCATTATGGTACTACCTGATCTATTCCCATAAACACAAAATTTCAATGCCACATTAACTTTGAAATCTTCCACCGTGTTAGTAGTCAGGAGTTATTAATCTGTTCCTCGTTAAAGATCTCCTGCAATTCATATTGGATGCAAGGACTGGGTATATATCTATAGTGTGTGTGTGTGTGTGTTTCTTTTAGTGTCACAGATGTCTATTTAGTTATGTCTTAAATTGATATAGCCTCTACTCTTCATTTTGAGTTAGTATTATTTGGCTGACTAAAAGCAACTGACTTGATATAGCCTCGACTTTTCATTTTGAGGAGTTAGTATTATTTGGCTGACTTAAAGCAACTGACTTGATATAGCCTCTACTCTTCATTTTGAGGAGTTGGTATTATTTTGCTGACTTAAAGCAACTGACTTGAGAACAATACATGTGCAGCTGGAGATGCATCTGCAGGAAATGCAGATCGAGTTTGAGAATCTTGTTTGGGAAAGGAAGCAACTTGAGAAGAAAATACTAGTAGCCATCAAGGATAAAAAGATAATGCAGGCCATGTTAGCAGAACTCGAGGATGAACATGACGATGCCATCGTCAAAATTGAGCAATTGGAGGACCAGGTGAAATATTTTTTTTCTCTACTTACTGATAAATTTTTTGTTTGTATACTACTATACTTGTACATGTCACTTTAGATTTATAGAAGTTTCCATGCTACCACTCATTTGCTCCATTGTAGCTGGTGTCTCAGTTTTGTTGTATCATTGTTCTGCTATAACTTCTTCTGTGCAACAAAGAAGCACAGCATATTAAGGAGAATATAAATCTAAGTGTTGAAGGAATACACACATTTAGAACTGTGTGACTTGAAGAAAGAGTAACCCTGTTAGGATTGGTCGGAAAGTTGATCATTTACTTGATTTCCTGGATTTTGGGACTGTAATATCAAAATTCTCCAGTATTTTTTCGTTAGTGTCACATATTGATGTATCTTAGTAAGGAAAGGAGCTGATTAATAGACAAAGGGTTTATATGATCAGTTGTTTAGGACAAGATGCCATAGTGAAAAAGGCCATTTTTTTGCAAAGATGACTTTCCTGCCTTTTCTTATACAGGGGAGCTGCTATATCCGGATCTGTGTGTTTCAGGGCATTGGATGGTTAATGTATATATAAGATATATAAGAATTAAGAATGAGAACAAGAGCAGTGTGATTATGGTGACCGTTCAGGGTTTTCAAATGATGATACAGCTTATAGACTATATAAACTTTTTTATGTAGTAGAAAGTAACTTCTTACTGTTAATTGTCGAGTCAATGCAACTTAGCTTAGAGTTACTGCTTGAATATCCGTCCCATTTGTTATGTGGATGAGTTGAGATTTGGTTTCTTAAGTTTTCAGATGGATAACCTTTTTCCGTTCAGATATGTATTTCTTGCTACTTAAAAAAAAATGGATCTTATTAAAAGAGAGATTGAGGTAAACTGGTCACAGAAAAGCGGTAGCTTTGACATTTGTTATAATGGTCCTGTGAGTTCCAATTTTTCATCTGCTCATGATACTGCAAATTTTGAGACGGCAAAGCCTGAACTTTGTATTTGGTGTGATATAGCTTCAGAATCTGAAGGTGGAAAATCAACGATTGAACGAAGTTCATGGTAAAGCACTTTCGGACCTAAAAGACCATTTTGATGGCCAAGTAATGCAAGGTTGTAGCGATGCTGTTCCATTTTGGAGATCAAGTGGCATTGAGAGCGTTGCCACACACAAGGAAGGAATGCAAGAAGATAAAAGCAAAAGCGGAAGTACGAGCCCTGAATTTATGGAAGCCAGATCCTGTCGAGATGTCAACCGGCCACGTACTCAGACCACGTCTGAGAATTTTGACACAAATGATGTGCTACACCAACGAAGGGATCTAGCTGTTTCCCAGACCCTTTTTAGTGCAATATTATCGCTCTTAGTTGGAACGATCGTATGGAAAGCTGAAGATGCATGCATGCCTCTAGTCCTCGCGCTATTTGCTGTCGTTGGCATGTCGTTGTGGAGCGTGGTCCAGTTCTTCACAACCATTAAGAACAGACCCGCGTCTGATGCAGTTGCTCTCTTGAGCTTCAATTGGTTTTTGCTCGGAACGCTGACATATCCTACGTTGCCAAGGATCACTCCTGTATTTGCACCAGTGTTATGGACTCTCTCAGACAGGGCTGTGGAGCTGCTAGGTTTCTAAATCTTGAGTTTTTTGCTTTTCGCAGTCGACACATACTACACACTGTTTTTGGTCCTCTTGATGCTTGTAAAGTAAAAGTTTGTCAAAATGTTTGTTCTTTTTGGGGTCTTGTCTTGTAAATTTCTTCTGAAAGAGTTTGATTTTGCTTAAACAGTTGTGTTATTGATGTCGTGGATGATAAGTAAATGTATAATATCCGTCTTTTATTAGTTCTCCAGCTACTGATGACACCATTACCTATTGAGTTAATGCAGGTCAAAAACATGTCTAAATTATCTTTTTTGCGAGTCTCATATCTTAATTATCCGTTGTTTCTTTTATCTACCTAAACATCACTCCCTTTGTATTTAAATGCATCTCAATACATACAAAGGAAAGATATCGTTAGCTCAATTAGTTGTTACAAGTGTCATGTGGATCGATTTCTATGGGTTTTTTTAAGCCTCCAGGCGGCTGTTGTCTATTAGTTTCAGCTAGTTTTTTCAATGGAGTATTGAAGTGTGTTTTAATATAAAAGTGATGATTTTACTTCATGAATATGAAAATACAGGACTACATTTGAAGGAAACCTTGTTTCTGCAACTTTCAACAAAGATAAATCTGAATACTTTCAGAAAATGACATGCAAACTTGTAATGATTCACCACAAAATTCTTTTAAACTACTCACTTGACCAATCAAGTTTAATATCCATTCACAATTTGTAACGTGCGTTGATTTTTTATTAGGAGCCAATGGGTAGTACACAAAAACATGAAAGGCATGGTTAAAAAAAAATTGATCCTCTTGCTGAATATTTTCAAGGATTTTCTTCATATTGATACTTCTCACTCAGAATTTGAAGAAACAAAAGATTCTATGCACCTTATTTAATATCCAGGTGAAGAAGTAGACAGACAAAAGAAGTAGCTGCAATAATATACTAGAGTAGCTAACATCCCACATAACACAATAGACTAGGTAGATTTCTACTATATATATATATATATTCCAATAGCCATGTAAGTTTCTTGCTATTTCAGATAGGAAGTGATCCTGATGATGGCTTCTTGGAATCTCAAACTTCCAGCAAAAAGATAGTTACTCTCAAATCAACTATTCTGCACCAAAGATCCCTCAGCTTGCATCTACATGAAAGCATAAGTTCAGCCAGTACAGCATACAAGAGAAAAATTATGGAGAACAGAAAATAGATGTTACCAAAGACGTCAATGAACTTACAGAGAATGAAGCAAACATGGAAAGACTTTGAGTTGCATATTATACTCTATCAAATGCCAGCCTTTGAGTTATATAATTTAGAGAACCATCAACGAGCAGATAAAGCAGCAACTAGAAAACTGATGCTATGGTAATTGAACAGAAATTTAACTTTACTGTATGATGCTGGTGATGTCGCAACAAAGTTTTGAGTAACATGACTCGTTTCCCATCGCAAAAAGAAGAGAACTGTATAGTTCTGCTTTAATTTTGGATGTCCAGCATTAAAAGTTTTGAGTTGTGTTCAATTCGGATACTAAACACTGACATTGGAGAGAGAACAAAAAGTACCAAATGTCATTGACATTTGAAGAACAAAAGGAACTGAACATCATAAGCAGAAAAGTGAACCTTTCATTCCTTCAGCATAGAGAATTTACTTGCAAGAAATTTAACAGTCAGAGTGATCTTAATGAAACTCCATAAAAGCATTCAGAAAACTGCACAAGTCTCTGCTCAAACTATAGGGATCTTTGTAGATAGAGTTGGTCGTCGCAGAATTAATTAATTTGAATCCTCATTATCTTTCTGAGCTCTACCATCTACGGTTGTATGTTGTGTAGACTAAACAAGAAATGGTTAAGGTTTGGTACCAGTTAAGTTCCTTATTCAGCAACAACCCTGTTCTATTTAGATCTCTCTGTCTTTAACCAAGACTAAGGTCAATCACTTGTCCTTGCCAATGCAAAACCTACGCTAGAACTCAATGTTATCCACCTCACAATCCTATCTAGCACAAGGAACAGGAGCACGAGCAGCATCTTAAACCGCCAATTCAAAGACCCATGTATGCATACCACATGACAGAGGTACCAATACTGGTCTCATGCCATCACAAATGTCATCAACGTCAATCAGTCTATCATGAATTGAAGGAATGAGACCTATACACCCGCTGACTGTTGCATTAGGGTCAACTGTAAGATAGAGAAAATGTTAGAAGTGACCTACCAAAAGCAACAAATCTATAGCTATAAAACCATATAGAGGACCCAGACACATGATTGATTTGAACATTGGGGTCTAATCCTCCGGCTCATTGAGTCCCTCAATCATATTTCTTGTGTTTTGCTCAGCTATTTTGCTTTGGAGTTTATTTTCCCCACAAGCATTTAGGACCACTGGACCGCAAGTAGGTCAGAAGCTCACTGGGCATGGTTATCAAAATCTATTTTCTCTTTTTGAGTAGAAAAACAAATAGACGAGAGATCAAGATTCACAAGGACGAAGTTTATTTCTAGTTCAACAGCAAGACAAACATAAGCTAATTCAATATTTTCTCATCCAACCATCACTTGGTCGCAATTAAGAAGATAGTTTCTTTCTTTTTCTTTTATAAACAAAATATGAGATACACCATGATGGTCTACCAGTAACTGCACGAAGTTCTAATCTCAATCCACTCACTTTCACATCAGCTTAAAGAAGATATCCCACATTTTAAAGTGATCTAGAAAACTGTGTATAGCAGAATAGGTTAGATATATATGTTTAATAAGTAAGTCATCTGTATTAACTTCTAGCATTCAATTATCAAGAATTAAATAATGGAAGAAACGAATGTCACAGAACAGAAGAATCAGTGATTACCGGCATTGCAACGCTGTTTGTCAAACCAGCTTTTTGTAGACATCAAGGCATTCACTAAATCTGACTCCACGGATCTAATATTTCTATCAGGTTCACCCACATCGGTGAGATAAGCATCATAGCCTGTAACAAGAGACAATTGTATTGACAAAAGATCACGAGCTAAATTTGATAGGGCAGGATATCTGGGGCTAGCAGCTTTCCACCAACTCAATACATCAAAGTTATTGGTCCAAGGCACAATAGGTTCTTCCAGCTAGCAGTCAAGTTCTGATTTTGGTGGCTGACTAGTTGTTTGGATGAATTTGCTGAACTCATCTAAACAGTCAAATCCAAAACTATGATCATCAAGAATTTCCATCTGTTCAAAGAGATCTTCACCCGTATCAGAATTGTCAGAACCTGAAGCGCTGATAGGATACTCCATTGAGGACTTGTGCACCACATAGTCATGGAGAAGGCTTCGGATGGACTCCAAGATAGACGGTAGCAGAGAATGATCATTATCTTTATACTTCAAGAAACAGAACTCTAAGTACTTCACTTTGTAGCGTGGATCCATAATAGTAGCTAGAGCGAACACCAAATACATATTCCTCCAATACTTGTCAAACTTTTCCAACATACTATTGGCTACATTTCTAGTAAATTTATCTGAACTTGCAGAATCTTTCATCAGATTAAATCGAAGATTATTAAGATTGTGGAAGTAGAGGCCTGCAGTGGGACGTTTTGCCATAAATAACACTTCTGCTGCAGTATAGACATGTCCTACAAGTTTACATACTCCCCTAACTTTCTCCCACTCTTGGGGAGAAGGTATATGATAGCCCTTATAATCATCTGCTTTCAAGTATTCTCCTTTAGCCTCCAACTCCAATGCTTCCTCTAGTTTATGAAATGTCACATTCCACACTGGTAGTGATCTGCCTCAACATACTATGAGACGAATGTCACTGATAAAACCCTCTATCATCCCAAATGCTCTTTTCACCATTGAACTGAAAATGTCTGCACAACAAGGTACACGAAACAATTGTCCGTCTGGCTGGAGTCTTTTCTTTTCAAGAAGTTTACTTTTAATGGCATCAATAACCTCATCAAAGTCCAGATAGCTATGCACAGTGACAGCACATATCTTATCTTCAATACCAAAATCTGAAAGACATTGCATTGTCTCACCAATATAATCGTCATATGCATCAAAAGACTTAAAGCTAACAACCCAACTTCTTAGATTCCAGTCTTCGCTAATGAAATGAACTCTTAAGCAAATGAAATCAAAACATGTTTCCTCACAATCTGAGGTAGGCCAGTAGCCAGGGTCATTGAATTTGTTATAAGTTAGCCTCTCAGCTAACTCGTCCATTCAAGCTTCTCAAAATTTCTTTAACTTTTGCTTTCTCTTCCTCGTACAATTCCAAGCAATACCGTGAAACAATGGCAGATGAAGGACAAAATTTTGGATTAAGATAGGCAGTTAATTTTTTGAAGTGCACGGCTTCTACTGACTTTGGAGATGTACCGGATTGACAGAAAAACTTTGCCATAGTACGATAAGCTGTTTCTTCATTGACAACATGCTCCTTCCCTAAATTACTTCTGCTCACGTTCCTCGGATTTGCATTTCTTGGTTCACAGTCATGACTTTTCCCTTTTGTTGGTATATCTGGAAAACAAAATAAAGAACCACTTAAGCCAATTTGGTTGGAGGGATTATGAAAAATAATGCCAACACAAAGTTCTATATAAAATAATAGTGTTTGATTGGACGATTAGGAAGTATAAGAAGAAAAGCAATCCCCGTGTAACTAATGTAACATTTAGATGACCATATTAAATATTAACTGCATTAAGTTATGCAAGAATTGGCATATTAATTTATACGGGATAGAATGTGAAAAAATAAACTTGTATTAGCAATACGAAGATAACAGAATTAATAAGAAAAAAAGTCTTTAATGATAAGTAATCCCTATATTATTATTCACTACATAATAACTCCAAGATTAATCACCAAACAATAATCATTTCTATTCTTATTCAAACCAAAACAAAATCTTGGATTACTTTTCTTTGCATAACTAGTATGTGAACCAAATGACCTGCTAATGTGTAGTAACAGTGGAAGACTAAAAGAGAAGAAGAATGGAACCAGATCTAGGAAAGAAGTCACAAAGTGTTTTCCGCTTTGCGTCGCTCATTTCCGGTTCATAAACTGCACCTGAGATGAATCAGATAAGAAGGTTGAAGCATATAATATGATGTCAAATTTTCAGATGTAGAAACAACATCAAAATTTGTTCTTTTCTTCAATTTTATTTTATCCAAATATCAAATATGTTGCATGATGTAGCATGAGCGGGTAAGGTCTGAGTACACAACACACCACTAGTGGGATCACACTAGCTAAGCATGTTGTTGATTGTTTGTTTGACTGTGGCATGAGCATCTTCTAGTATAAATATCGGATTCCGATATGGATTTGACATGGATCTATTCAATTTTGAGTGTATTTTCGAAAATATATAGTCGAAGCTAGTTGGACTTGGCTATATAAATCCTTTGTATCCATCAATTTAGAGGATTCATCATTGTTTAATTATTCAACCTAACCACAACAACTCTTATTTATTCATCTTGAGACCAGCTACACTTTGCAAAGTTAACCTCAGCTAGCAGAGTTATATGCTAATATCAGTTAAAGCTTCAAAATTTAGGAAAATAGACACACAAAAATTACAATCAGATGGGTTTAACTCAAGAAAAGGAACAAGTAGGCCTTGTTCAGTATTTTTTTTTCTTGATTTCTTCACTCCAATTATTTTCTTGAGCCGAGGTCTATCTTAAACAACCTCTTTATCTCCCAAGGCTCACGTAAAGTCTCAAGCTACACAATCCTCCCCAGACCCCCTAATAGAATTACACCGAACATGTTGTTTGTACCAAACACACCCCAAGTATTATTTTATTTTAGGGATAAGTGTCTGAAAAATACCTCAACTTTGGCCGAAATTGCTGTTATGATACCAAACTTTATGGAGGACCTATTATCCCCTGAACTATTTAATAGTGTATTTTTACCCCCTGAACTATTTAATAGTGTATTTTTACCCCCTGAACTATTTAATAGTGTATTTTTACCCCCTGAACTATTTAATAGTGTATTTTTACCCCCTGAACTATTTAATAGTGTATTTTTACCCCCTGAACTATTTAATAGTGTATTTTTACCCCCTGAACTATTTAATAGTGTATTTTTACCCCCTGAACTATTTAATAGTGTATTTTTACCCCCTGAACTATTTAATAGTGTATTTTAAAGGTATATATGTGTCCACGTGGACACATTACTATTTATAATTTTGCATTATTTTTTATGGCAAATATATATGTTTAAAATACGATATTAAATAGTCTGGTGATAATATGTCCTCATTAAAATTTGGTATCATAACAACAATTTCGACCAAAGTTGAAGTATTTTTCAGACCCTTATCCCTTTATTTTATGTGTGTGAAGGAAAACACCCCCTAAGCAAAAATTAGTCTGGTGCACTAAAGCTCCCGTGCTATATGTGGGGTTCAGGAAATGGCCGAATCATAAGGATATATTATAAGTAACTATTTTCACGACTTGAATCTGTATCCCTGTAGCATTCACATGATGCCCCAGGAAAAAATATTACTAAAACCCTAAATTTACCCCTTTTAAGCGTAGAGGGTAGAACCCTAGGAAAACAGTATAAAAAGAGAGCAATAATTTATAGAAGATCATATACAAACGATTAGATGATTTGAATACAATGAACAAGAGAGATGAGTGAAAGATTGAAACCTTTTTATATATGGAGAAAGAGAGGTTTGTAGCAAGAAGTTGTGCAACTTCATATGAATTACTTTGAAATTTATATTACAAAAAAATGTGTGTGACAGGTCCACTTTTGCCCGGGAAAATATGGCATTGCCGGGGCCCAATTAAAAAAGAGAAAAATACATTTTATGCACATTGGTATAAAATTAGGGAAAAATACATAAAATAGACCTTAAATAAATTAGGAAAAATTATCTAAATACACATCTTATTTTATTATATTCTGAAAAATTTCCTACCATTTAAACTTTTTTATAAAAATTCTTATTTTCCTCACCCTATTCACGGTACATCACTCTCACGCGATGTATCAGAATGTGATTTATTGGGGTGCGATATCGGGACAAGTGTGTCTTGTATCAACAAAGGTAATGTATCGGGACATTGAGAAATGTATCGGGACAAGTGTGTCTTGTATCAACAAAGATAATGTATCGGGACGTTGAGTAATTTATCTAAAATCCTTAAATTTTAAGAATTTTTTATAATTTGGAAAAGGGTAGAGATATGATGTAACTCTTAACATTGTGAAATTTATGTAATTTTCACTAAAAATAAACTAACTACTGATTTTTTTATTTTACATTAAAGACCAATTGAACCACTTTATTGAAAAAATAAATTATGTACACAAATAGGATCAGCCCATAAAGTCAAATCCAAATTTGTCGCGACCTGGGCTTACACTCGCACCAGAAATGCGCCAGGATGGGGCGGCACACCACTGAGGCTCCAAGAGGGTTGGAGCCCCGCGCCTAGTGCCCTGCGCCAAAAATGCACCAGGATCGCCTGCCTCCATTTCTCTTCCGTCTGAGTTCTTTTAAATTAATTGTGTCTTCACTCTCTTCTTAGGTATCACTATCAAAAACTTCTTTAATCACTGAGAGATCCTATATATCCTGATCATAACTCTTTAATTCACATTTCAATTCAAGGTAGAGTTAAGAGTAAAGTTCGAGGGAGTCCTTTCAGTCATTTGAGAAGTCTTCTACAATTATTTATAACTTGAGTAAATGAGTATGATAATGAGGAGAGTTTGAGTTCATATTTCCAAATGAGTATGACGGGACTAAGTATTCCCAAGTGTACAACACATTTACATTTAAAACGAGAAGAAACCTTGATTTCTAAATAAGTTCATGAAGAGTTTTTGAGCATTCTCTTTTAAGAGAACTTTTTGAGCAATTATTTCAAATCGACTAGGAGTTATGTTTTTAAACATATGAGCATGAGTTATATATTATTGGGAGTAGTATTGAGCACTGATATGGAGATGAGTTCAGACAACTCAAAATCCTCATAAACCATGTATGCCAACATGGGTAAAGGGTCGATGATTCCTTATTGCTTTTAAACATAGCTTAGTGAATCCACTTAGTTGAGGATGCCCTATACTCCGGTAAGGTATAGGATAGTTCTGGTAGCGTGGGGGAGACGTTGTATCATCACGTAGCTCATCACGTCGATTAGAGAATCTCCCAAATAAGAGTAAAGAGTTTATTATTGTATTTTTATATACATTGAGTTATTATTTACTGTTTTAAAAAGCATATATATATATATATATATATCGTTGCTTTCATATTATATTGAGTTGAGTATTATTGAGTTGAGTTGAGTTTTTTTTTCCACAAAAAATGCATTTTATTCATCTTCCAGCAAAAAGTTACATATGATATGAGGGAGATTACAATCAGTGATTACTACTCCCTATTAAGAGAAGAGTATATCAAGCTATCCTATTTGAGATGAAGAAAATGCAAGAGGTGGCTTTTTCATTTGGCTATAGTAACCAAGTGAGCCAATACACCAAACTCCTGTACTATGTACTGCCAGTACACAAAAATGCCTCAAGGAGGTTCCCAAATCAGATCATTCCTCTTCTTGTTCATGGTTCTAAAGTTAGTCATCTCCCACCTATCCATGTTCATTAGTCCTTTACTCTAGTTGGTAATTCTGCAAAAGCATCATAGACCATGTTGTTAGGATTGTCGTAACTGAGAGATGCCAGAAGATCTGCAACTTTGTTTGCCTCTCCGTAGCAGCCATTAGTCTCCATATGAGCTTTCAATTCTTGCACTTCATCATAAATTATCCATGGTGTGAAGTTGATGTCATTCACATAATTGTCTTCCTTTCTACCCGTTCAAGCTTATATGTTATATGTTCTAGTGTTCCGAGGGTGTAGACTCGAGCGTGACAATCACTTTCCAAGTTTTTCCCAAATTTTCCTCAAGTTTTCCCTAGTTTTTTTTTGGGCCAAACGGGTCCTAAATAAGTTGGGGTTAATTATATGAATTTTCACTCATGTTTTAATCAGATAAACCCAACTCACATCATTGTGTCAAATAAAATAAAATTTTATATTTATAATAATAATAATAATATTCTTATATATTACTATTATTATATCATAGTACTATTACTCTTTATTATTATTATTATTAATGTTAAAGGTTATCTACATTAATTACTAGTATATCAATTATGTTAGCATTTAATAACTACTTTGCTCGTATTTACTCCCTTCTTTTATTTTGTTTTCTCCATCTTGAACATCTTTCACCATTTTTAACTATTATTCATGTGCCACAATCTCATTCATCAATTATATCTATAAATAACCTCATTTTCCCCTCCCCTAACATAACATTCTTCTTCTATTCTCCTCTTTCTTAACTCTTGAGATTGTTTTTTTTTTTTGTTATCTCTCTATTTATAGAGGGACATGAAATATGAATAGGCAGATGAGCATCTATCAATATAGATGAGTTTTTTTCGTTTTACATAGTATCTAATTTTTCTGGTGCAACTCGGGCACTAATTATTAACTTTCCGTGACCGTCGATGACGAATTTTGTGAAAAGAAAAATTTGTGCCCGACTTACACAGGCTAATTGGAGACTATAGTAAAAAAAATTAATATTTTCTTCAGATCCATCTAATAATGCCCACTACTCGTGAGGTTTGGATTTCACTCAATCAAATTATACGTATAATCTTGCATGCATGTTATATCTTTTTTTTTATGTGTATTTAATACATAGTCAACTTTAATTTTACTGAAACAATTCCAAATCAAACTACAAATTCAACTTTTGTTTCTCAATTAATGATTCATATGCGTACGATCGATCATGGCAAATTACTATAAAACTGTACTGATAGAAGACAAAATCGAGGAAACCATATCGAGGTAATTCAACTCCATTGAAGTGTATTGATTTAAAAAGAATAATAAATTCGTATCTTTTGAACTCTTAAATATGAAATGAGCACAAGTTACTTAATAAGATTACTAGAAAATTTACATATTTGGCAAATATATTTTTATTTTTCGAATCCCATGGATAATTTCAGAGATAATCCTTTAGGTTTGGCTTCATAAGACTGATATTACACTTAATCTTCGTTACACTGATTTTCTATTATTTTTGTAAGTTGGATTACATTCAATCTAATTCTTCAAGATTTTGCTTTGTCTTAATTTGTTTTAGTTTGCTCATTCTCACGCTTGCACGACGTCTGAACTTTGAAGTTTGTAATAGAAAATTTTGTTTAAGGTCTCGTGTGAATGTATCAGTTTCCAGTTTAGAAAGCTTTAATGTGATTTGTCTATTTATGAACTTGAATAGAAGAGAAAAATATTTTTTCACTAAGCAAACTCTTAGCAATTTTAAGCTACATTGCAGTATATCAAAAGCTACATTTTAAGTCTGCAGTGGCGGATCCAGAAATTTTGTATCATGGGTGCTCAACTATTTTTAGCTGGGAAAATGCTACATATAATGGGTGCTCAGTTAATATATTTCAATACATTTCTAAATTTTGTACATAAATTTGAATATTGACACAAAAGGTAGTGGGTGCTTAAGTGACTACATAGGTCCGCCACTTTAAGATAACATTTATCTAGTGCTTTGACATAATCACTTCTGTCATGTAAAGCAAACTCTTTGTAAGTAATCACAAATTTCTTAGATGATCTAACAATTTCTTAGCAAGTCCTGATAAATATCGGGAGACACAGTTCTCTGAACAATTCCGGCATTTTCTTCTCTTTGCTATGATAACAAACTCCTTCAAAACCACTGCATTCTTCAGTAGAACCTTCGAAAGCTTGTATTTGGACCAAAACTTCGAACATCCCCATGTACCATCGACAATCTTAACACTTTTGATATTGGGAAACACAATGTTAGAAATCCAACTCTGCAAATTGCTATTTTTTATTTTGACCAAATAGATCTCAAAGAGAAAATGCGCATCCTCAACCTGGAACAGAGAATATAATCAGGACCTGATGCAGGTCTACGACATAATGAAAATTATTCTACAAAAGACTATAACATGATTTCACAGCATGTCTGATATAGAACAATTTTCAAAATCCAATCTTGAATAGTTTTCAGCAAATAATTACAATATCAAATCCGTTTTAGAAATACGCAAACAGTATATAAACCAAGCTGAAAGAATCAGTTGCTCACCAATCCTCCTATCCAATTATTTATACAGTAGCTTTATAGTGACAAATGATTCTTGTTGATAATTAATGTTTTGTTTTATTTACGTTTCTCCCTAAGAAACTCAGTAAAAGCAGAAAGAAAAGCATAAATCAAGAGAAATTACGATCCAAAATACCAAGTGTATGTTGACGGTCTCCAAAAGTGGTGAGGCTTGCAAAAGGCTAGCTATTCCATAAAAGGTATGATACATTGGATGCAACTCCAGCGTCAAGCATTTGCATCTCAATTCTGGAAGGGAAACTCCATCGGGTAGCAATATGAACACAGCCTGGTGATATAATCCCAACAAAAGATAATGTTATCAAAACTTAACCATAGTTATCACTTTTAAGAAAAAACAATGTATGAAAGGCTAGTTTCTAAAATAATCTATTGCCAATAAGGAAATATCCATCTTCAAAAAGTACAAGGGAAGATCACAAATGGTGAAAGAAGACGATCGTTTTGTAAACATAAAATAATTTTCAACCAAAAAGGAGTTTCACTGAAATTCTCAGGTATATATGTAAAAGTTCATAGTTCATAATGGTATGAGATTTTGAAGGCAGAATCTTTCCCAGGGCTATTATATCCTGCAATTCTTAGCAAAAAGTCGATAGAGAATAAGATCTTTTGACATTAAAACAAACCTCTGTTAACCAATTTCCAAATGTTAGCTCAGTCGCTGAAAGAATGTAGAGAAATATACTAGAAAGGATCGTGAGAAATTTTCTGGATTTTGTATTTCTTCAACCTGTCATTGCAAAGCTACTGTACAAGCAAAATATATTCAAAACGTCCTAGGGATTGAACGGTAATAAAATCAACAAAGTACCTGCCTAGTACATACAGCTGTATAGCATAAAATAGGACATGTACTATTTCTAGAGTACTGTACTCTAAAATATCTGTACATGTATATGTATTTACAAGGAAAATGTTCTACTAGAACTGGACCTCTATATGTTTCTGTTGTTGAAGCCCATAATGAATAAATCAATCCAATAATATAGTTAGGCTTATGTTCTGATCCAAAGGCAAATCAACAGCATGCTTCTTCACTCAACTTCTTCTTAGCTTCTCTCTTTGTTGAGCAAATTAAGTCACCGGAAACAGTCGCGTAACTCAACTTTTGAATATAGTAGTCCAGTACAAAGTTTCTCAAACATGATGATAATCACGATGGCCATATTCGTAGGCAAAAACGATATTGTTAATGTGACAAGTGAGGCGGGCTGTAACCAAAGATGATACATTTAGCGGCCTACACTTGAGATACCCAATATCTCCTGAAATCTCCAAATGTTGAACATGTGGGGCAATTATTTTCAAAGAACCTTCAGTCCCAGCATCAGGCGTCCAATGGCCCGCCAATGTTAGTCTCTTCAAGTTTGAAGAAGCAATATCAAGGCGACGTAAACCCCTGAATAGTACGTGACAACTCCAAAGTTTCCAAAGCAGGACAAAGTGACAGTAAGTTCACGATATCATCATCGTTTAACGTTATTAAGTAGAGCCTTAACCTCTTTAAATATTTCCAAGCTATATGTCATCCTTATTCAAACACCCACCGACTCAAATGAATTTTTTACCAAATAAGCTATTATTAGAAAACGTTACTCATAATAACGTTTTAGGAGTAAAACGAGCCTCATATTTATCTCAGCTTTGATGTCCGCCTTTACCTTATTAATCTAAACCCTAGCTTTGGAAATCTTCAAATTAGATTACAACTTTCCCAACTCACACAACTCTGTTTACAATTCTCGCCACTAGTTTTGTTGGGTCTAAACGAGATTCACGACATGCTTGGATTGTCGAAAAGCTTAGAAAGAAGAGATTCACGACAAGCATGGATTATCCAAAAGCTTAGCTAGTATGTTCTTGAGGTATGTTTTTTCTTTACAAAATAGTAGGAAAATGCTTGGATTAGGTTTTAATATTCCCACAAACTTAAGAAATCATCGTTTCAATGGTTTCCTACAATAAGGTAATTTTGTTTTTCCTATCCGTATAAGGTTAAGGAGGTCCATTATAGCCTTGGGTAGCACAACTTTCTGTATCACTACAACAATTAATGTCAATTCTTGTTTGAAGTAATTGTTTTCCTAGCCTAGAAGACAGTGATTTTCCCATGGGCTAAGCTATTGAGTTGTATAAGAGTGTGTATAGCAGCTTGTGGCTTATGTTTGACATTACAATTTAAGTATTGATTTTACTTGTGTTCTTACATCAACTATATATTTTTTTAACAAAGTTGATGAGTGATTTTCCCTTGAACACACTGAAGGTTTGATCCTGCTTATTTGTGTAATTGATCTTTTGTTCCCTATAATGTTATAGCACTTCGTCTATTTAATAATTTTATTGTGATTTGCTTGAATAATTTGTGTCATATCTTTAAATAATGGAATTGCTAACTGGTTACTAAAGTAATCTTGGATTTAAGTACGACAATAGCGGCTAAGTTTCATAATATGCAATGAAGAAGTGTTTCCAAGCTCTCACAGCAAGTTAGACTTTATTGGTGAACCATTCTTATGATATTCACAAAATAATCTTGTGTTTGGTTGTTTGTTCATGAAGTTCTCTAAGAGTACCTATGAGCATAAATACAGTTATTTGCGATACTTTTCAGTACTTCCAGTGCATTTTAACTCTTATCCTTGAAGCGTTTCAAGCAAGTTCTTTCCTCTTAAGTTAGTTGCTACGTTGTTCAATGATTTTGCCATCATCAGTTGGTGTTTTTTGTTCATCTATTGTTGCCTCTATAATAGTGGTTTACTTTGTACAGGTGCGTTGAATTCATTCGATGGTAATGGTTGATAAAGTAAAATCAATCGGTGATCAATCATCAATGGAGGAACTCAAGAAATAGTGAGATTGTTCATACATGACACCACAAACTCCACAAATATCAAGGAATTCAAGTTTTTCGTATCTTGAAAATGTTTTTGGTAGTTATCGATAATAACATTTTGAGAATGTCCCAAACTTTACCTCATCACTTGTGCCAATATCCATTGAGATCCCTGATGCCTTTAATAATTTAGAGGACTCCTACACTGAGATAGAAGATAGTGAGTTGGATGATTCGGACTATGCAAGCGAAGGCAGTGAACAACCATTAGTGAAGGAGAAGCGTATATTTAGCTATTCGATAAATATGGCGAGCTGATCAAGTTTTCTAGCAGCTATAGGCTTCTTGGATTATAGTGATAAATTAGTTAAATCTAACATAGGTGAAAAGGCTTTATACAGTGAAGTTTGTTGGTTGTGATTTTGTTCAAAGCTTACATTTGAATTCCTATTCTTTTTGCTAAAAAATAAAATGTTCGTCGCCTTATTGACAAAGGCTTTGTCATTAAAAATATTCATTTGTTTTTTGGTTCTTTACTTTTTATTCCTTAATATTCTCAACATGTATAATATTGGTTTTCTAATTCGAGAGCAATTTTCTCTTGATAGGGTATTAATCTGAGATCACTATAATTTATCGAACACTAGGTGAAAAATCATCACTCTCACTTGTTTGTTTTATTTTTTATGCACTTGATTTTCACAAGAAAAATCCAATATAACATGGTTATTCCCACAAGCATAGTATGTTCAAAAGGGACAACGAGAAAAATAAACGTTAGTGTATTATTGGTATCTAGGATTGAAGTTACCTTACAACAGCTAATTGAAAGGATATTAACACAACTAAAACCCTTGAACAATTAAAAAGCAACTAATACATTAACAAGAAACGTACTAAGCAAACTAAAAGTCTATATCCGTGATAGTAACCTTTTATAGATTAATTTGCAGGATTCAATTATAAATTTATAGGGTTCGATGGTCTGTGAATGGATTTTGAAGAAACGTTACTGTGAGTAACGTTTGAGCAACGTTTTAGCTCTAAAATGTGTCTCCGAGTAACGAATTATAAAACAGTAACGTATTATGCTTGAAACGTTACTATCAATAACGTTTCTTTATTTAACGTCATCAGCCCATATATTTTACACGGCAGATTCTTTTTAAATAAAATATAGCCTAAAACGTTATACATTTATACTAGTTCTGTAAATTTTCAAAAAAACATATTATTTGATGAATTGGTTTAAATATTGGCTTACTTTGGTCAAAAATTTGACTCAAATTAAAACGAAATCAATGACGACGACCAGTAAATAGATAGAGGCAATTCGTAAGTGAGATTCTCATCATGTCTATGCAATACAATATCTTCCATTTTTCTTTCCGCAGCAAAATTAATCCATCGGTTAATTTCCAAGTAATAGTTAGATGGACTCGGGGGCGGATCTATGTATGGCCGTGGGGTGCCATGGCACCCAGTGATCTCAGTTGAAATTTCGTTTATACATGTATATATGTATAGGTAGGGGTGTTCATGGTTCGGTTTGGATCGGTTATTGGTTAAAACCAAATCCAAACCACAATTAATCAGTTTTTAAATTTCTTAAACCAAATAAAACCAAATCAAAAAAATAACCGTCGGTTTGGTTATTGTTGGTTTGGTTCGGTTTGGTTCAATTTTCTTGGTTATTGCGGTTTGAAAGTATATAGTTTTTTTGAGGGCATATGCATCTCGATAGACATGAATTCATAGTACATAAACAATCAGAAAAGCTATTGTAAATTTTATTAAGCAATACTAGTCATAGAACAATTGAAACAGGACTAAAAAAAACTCATTACCCTGTTAGAAGACTTATATCTAAAAAGAGAAAGCAATGTATATATGTAGTGGAAAATCAATATTAGCAGAGTTGTCTTGGATAAAAGATAATAACATATTGAATCTTGCATGTTGTGACAATTGAGAATTTTTCCTAATAAACCAAAAAAAAAAAATCAGTGCTCCAAATGTAAAAATCACTTAAATAATAAATTTTTGATTGAGTTAGATTAAGGATTTTAATACTTGGGCTGAAATTTAAGTGTTGGGCTTAAGAAAATAATAAAGTTAAAGACTTAAGTTAATTAAAATTTAATAAAATATTTATATTTTATTTATGAATAATATATAAATAATTATAAAATTTATATATATAATTAAACGGTTTGGTTTGGTTATTTTTGCGGATATTCTTTTGTAAAACCAAAACCAAACCAAATAGTATCGGTTTTCAAAATTCAAAATCCAAACCTAACCAAATCCAACCAAATATCAGTTTTTTTAATCGGTTTGATTCGGATTACAGTTCGGTTTGATTGTTTAACCATAACCATGAACAGCCCTATGTATAGGATATTTGATAAATATTAAACTTGCCACCCAAAGAACAAATGAACCGCATGGTGCCACTGGTGGACGGTTGAGTTTTACTCCCCAGACATGCGGGATCGAATCTCCATCGATACGCTGTAATTTTTTCTTTTGCAAAAAAATAAGTGTTCTCTACCACGAACTTGCAATGTGATTAAAACTACTATTACCATTAAGCTATGGTCATCTATGATGTTATATGCTTTACTATATATATGTTAACATGACATAAAACTTCTAAATTTGTATTTGTTGACTTTTTTTTCTCTTTTTTATTTTAGACATAAAATACTACTCTTTAAATTTAGATTTATGTGATACACTTTATTTTTTTAATTATTTCAAAAGATATTACTTTTCTATTATTAGAAACTAGTTTAATTTGTAATTTTTCTTTTGCCATAATGA